AGTTTTCATCTTAGAAGATCCTGCGGTAATGGTGCCTAAATTACTAAAAAAAAATAGAAGACTATGAAGAAGTTATGATGAAAACAATTAGAGAAAAGACCAAATTATTAGTAAAAAAAACTGTACACTGAACCAAAGAACAGCTCTGATGGAGCAAGCAGAGATGTGTTACATTGAGCAAGATAATTATATCAAACTGTTTAAAGAGATTAAGATTGACTTAGAAAAATGGTCTAAATTTACAAGTATCGTTGTTGGGAAGAATAGCTATAGTTAAAATTAGTATATTACCTAAGATTTTGTTCCTATTCCAAACAATTCCTATAAAAATTGAGAAAAATTTGATGATTTAAATACACAAATTTTGAAATTTATATGGCAAAAGAAAAAGCCAAGAATTAAGGTAAAAATACTAAAAGGAACGGGGGTTTTGGTCTTCCTGACTGGCTGTTGTACTATCAAGCATGTGCTTTAATGTGGTTAAAAGAATGGATAACATTAAGAAACAAAAGAATTTTATATCTTGAAGGTCACGAGTTACAAATGGGGTGGCATGCTTTTATGTGGTATGAGAAATGTACAACCCATGGGTATTTTCAAAATCATTATAATAGGAACTCATTGATTTCAGTATGGGAAAAACTAAAGAAAAAAACCTTATAAGATACTGAGATGGCTTTCTCCCATGGAAGCTTTTGTATATCCAAATGCGCTGAATTTTAATAAGATTGTGACTTATAATGATATTCTGGATAATGATGGAAGATTGAAAGCAAATCAAGAATTTCAAGAAAAGGGTATTGATCTTTCTTGGCGGCATCAAGTGCAAATACAATCGAGATATGCTAAAGACTCTAAATTGTATGGTTTCTATAAGGAGCAAACTATGTTTGATCAAGTAATTTTAAAATCAGATGAAAAAATGATTAAAATATTGTATCACTTTCTCTTAGAAATGAAAATGGAAGATGAACAAGGTAAGGAAACTATGATATCATGGGCACAAAACTCTGGATATAATATTGAATTGCAGAAATTGCAAAAGCTGTGGGAAAGAAATGTTAAGATAACCCTGGCAACCTCATATAAAGAAAATTTGTATAAAATGCTTTACAGATGGTATTTGTAACTGAATAGATTAGCTAAAATGTTTTCAAATATGTCAAATAGGTGTTGGAAATGTAAACAAAAGCCTGGTACCTTTTACCATATGTGGTGGACTTGTGATAAAGCAAAAAAATACTGGGTTAAAATACATAGATGGCTTGGGGAAATGTTGCAGAGACCTGTAATATTTAAACCAGAAATATTTTTGTTAGGCATTCTCCCTGACAACTTCGATAAAAGAAGTATATATTTGACTTTGCATGTAATCACAGCAGCGAGGATTGTATTTGCACAGTACTGGAGGAATGAAGAGTTACCAACTGAAGATTTGATTTTAAAGAAGATATTGAACTGTGCAAAAATGGACAGACTGACTTTATCTTTTAAGGAAAGAGAAGATACATGCTACTATCAAACGGACTTTTTCCATTTCTCAATTTTCTCAATTGAGAAATGGAATCTCAATTAGGGATGAAATATACAGTAACTGTAGAGAGAGTAAGATTTTGAACTCAGGATGTCTGAAGTCTTTGGAATAACTATTTGTTTAGTGTGTAGAAAACAATAAAAAATGTTGAAAACGACAGGAAGGACTTCTTCAAAGTTGAATCTGTAGATAAATTGTTCCCTCTCTTTTACTGATAAATTTTCACTTTGACAATGATTAAAAGTGCTTGTAATTCTGGTTGTGCAGAAAAATACTCTCTAATAGTATTTTGTAGATTCAACAAATACTTCAACTGCAGCAGGAATACTGTCCTCCTCTAGTATAAAAGTAACCAACTAGATGCTGATTGTAAAGCAGACTTCCAGTGGGCCGCACAAGAACCCGAAGATTGAAAAACAATTCCCAAATATTTAAATTATCTACTTTGTATTATGGACTAGCCACCTATGACCCACTTATTCAGGGAGAAACTCCTAGAAAAAACCCATAATGTTGGTTTTATCCAAATTAACAGATGAAACATATTCATTACAGTAACTGATAAATGCTTCCCGCATTCATTTTAGACCAACCTTGGTGGAAGAAAGAACAGTATTCTCTGCATGTAATAGTAAAGGAATCCTAACTGTGGCCCGTTTGGTGGCATTAAAGTCCCATGAAGGAAAATGTCTTAGGTCAGTAAGGAAAGTAAATAGCGTGGATGCAAGCATACAACTGTGATGCACTCCTTCACTGACAGGGACAGGGTTAGTCAGGGTTCCACTCCACATCTTACCTGTACGGTAATGTTCTGATATAAACACATAATTAAATCTTTCATCAATGGAAGAGGAATAAATCTTAGCCCATAGTTTAGCCCTTGAAAATCAAAATTTTCTTCAAGTGGCAAGTTTATTCTGAAGGTAACCAACTACTGACAGTAGGTTAATAGGACAATAGTGGAAGGGTTGTTTTTAAGCTCCTTTTTCATAAATAGGGATAAATAGGGACAGCCTGAGAATGGTCTTTGGGTAATTAAGCAGTCCTATTAATTTATGTAACAGAACTGCGAATAAAGGTGTCCACTGTGTGATGTTAACATTCAGTAGTTCGGGCATAACAGGATCTGGTCCCAGAGCCTTTCCAGATTTTATATGGGAAACCGTTTTTTTAAATTTCAGACTGAGTCACAGGGGACAAGTCTGGAATATCAGAAATACTAAATATTAACATTTAATTAATAAAATAAATATCAGAAAAAACCAAAGAAGAAAGAAAGAAATCCATGGGTGTTAGAAACTCTTTCCTTTCCTTTGGAAGAGAAAAATATTCCAAGTATGCTGAGTCCTTTTTGAAACTTTATTGCAATAAAGGAAGTTGGAGAGGTTTCTTTCCCCTCTTCCAGCTCAACTCAGCACATGTTCTCATCTCATTATTACGCCCTGCCCCTCGCCGCTTCTCCCCCACCCCACCCCCCATTGGCCAGGGCACTGGGACGTTACAAATCTTTGCTGGCCGCCTATTCTATGTTGAGTTGGAAAACTCAACAGTGGCCACAGGATTAGAAAAGGTCAGTTTATATTCCAATTTCAAAAAAGGGCAATGCCAAAGAATGTTTGAACTACCACACCATTGCACCCATTTCACATGCTAGCAAAGTTAAGCTCAAAATCCTGCAAGCTCGGCTCCAGCAGTATGTGGACCGGGAACTACCAGAAGTACAGGCAGGATTTTGAAGAGGCAGAGGAACTAGAGATCAAATTGCCAACATACTCTGGATCATGGAGAAAGCTAGGGAGTTCCAGAAAAACATCTACTTCTGCTTCATTGACTATGCTGAAGCCTTCGATTGTGTGGATCACAGCAAATTGTGGCAAGTTCTTAAAGAGATGGGAGTACCACACCATCTTATTTGTCTCTTGAGAAACCTATATGCAGGTCAAGAAGCAACATTAAGAACTGGACACGGAACCACTGATTGGTTCAAAATTGAGAAAGGAGTTTGGCAAGGCTGTATAATGTCGCCCTGCCTATTTAACTTATATACAGAGCACATCATGAGAAAGGTGGGGCTAGATGAATCTCCAGTTGGAATTAAGATTACTGGGAGAAATATCAACAACGTCTGATATGCAAATGATACCACTGTCATGGCAGAAAGTGAAGAGGAACTAAAGAGTCTCTTGATGTGGGTGAAGGAGAGTGCAAAAGTTGGCTTGAAACTCAACATTAATAAGAAAACTAAGATCATGGCATCGGGTCCTCTCACTTCCTGGCAAATACAGCCTAATGCTGGGACAACTGAGGGCAAAAGAAGAAGGGGATGGCAGGGGATGAGGTGGCTGGATGGAGTCACTGAAGCAGTCGGCGTGAGCTTCGGGGGATGGTGGAGGACAGGAAGGCCTGGGGGAACATTGTCCATGGGGTCGCGATGGGTCTGATGCAACTAGCAACAACAACAATCCTGTGCCACTGATACCTGTTCTTCCCTCCCACTTGGTCCCTCCCAGGTGAACTATAATGAGTTTAGATCCCATGCAGGGCGTGTTTGTTAACAGTCATGAGGTCATTCATTGAGCAATTTCCTGCTATCTTGCCTTCGTGCCAATTTCCCCACTCTGTGCCATCTGATCTCAGCCCCCACCCCCTTTAGGCTAACGAATTTTCTTTATCTTTTCTTTTTTACTCTTCCTACTTCCTTGTTTCAAATCATCCTTTCATGCCTATCACTGGGCCTCCTAAAACCTGTGGAAAAATACGTTTTCCAGACCTGTGCAGGAACTGCACGTGTTACTGAGCCAGTGAAATTGCCCAGTGCACCTGTAACTACTGACCAGAGGCATTTAGCATCCTTTTCCAAAGAAGCCGAAATGGCGCTGACACGCCACGAGGTAAGCCTGCGAAGAAACTGCTTCCTTGCTCGGTCTCCAGACCCGTTGCCCGGAGAATCCACTCTGATGGAGAAAGGGGCAGGCATCGCACCACCTTGCGCTGCCCGTGGCTGCGGATGTCCGGGCGGCTCATGGGAGGCGGGCGGCGTGCAGGACAGAACCTGCCTGGGCGCAGCACGCAGGTCACCTCCACCGCCGCTTCCTTCCGCGGGAGCGCCGCACGTCTGTCGCGGAGCAGGCTGGGCGCGCACTGGCGGCAGACGATGGCGAGCCGGCGGCCGGCGCGCCTCACCCCCAGAAGCGGCTTTCCGGGAGCGCCCCAGCCGAGCCCGGTCCGCCGGCCCACCCGCCCGAGTACACGTGGCTTTTCCTCCCGGGACTCCATTGCTCCGTGCGCCTGCCACTCCACTCCTTTTCCCGCTCCAATTGGCTCCAGGGACGTGGCCTAAGCGACCCAATCCCCCGCCTTCGCCTGAGAGGCGCACAGGCCTATCACCACGCTGCGCTGGGGGGCGTGGCCCCCCGCTCCGCCCGGAAAGGCGCCGCCCTTCGAGGGCGCAGCGCGGCTGCTCTCTGCGCAGTCCTGCCATGGCCCAGCGCGGCTTCGCGGCCGAGTACTGGGGCATCCCGGCCGTGACGCGCGCTTACACCACTGCCTGCGCCATCACCACGGCCGCCGTGGTAACCGCCGGGGGGAAGTGCCGCCGGTGGCCAGCGGGGCCGTCCCGCGGGGCACGGCGAGAGCGGGGAGGGGGCGCAGGCTGGGGGGCGCTGGCCCGGGGGGCCGGCTGCGGCGGGGCCTCTTTGCGCGACTCACCTCCGCCTCTTCCGTCCGGCAGCAACTGGAGCTCCTCACTCCTTTCCAGCTGTACTTCAACCCGGAGCTCATCTTCCGCAGGCTGCAGGTGCGCGGAGCGGAGCGGAGCGAGGGGCGCTGGTGCTCTGCGCGGAAGCGCCCGGCGGCGGGAGGCCCCCCTCCGCTCCGCTCGCTCGCTCCCTCCCTCCCTTTTCTGCATTCTTGCCGCAGGTCTGGCGTGTCGTCACCACCTTCCTCTTTTTCGGCCCGCTGGGATTCAGCTGTGTCTTCAATATGATTTTCCTGTATCCTTCGTGCCCTCGCGGCTGCGGCCTGCCCGGGGGCCGCCCCCGGCACGGGCCGTTTCCCGCCCTGAGGAGCCTGGCCGTCGCGCTGCAGGCCCCCCCGTCCTCCGCGCTGAGCCTCCCGGTTCCCGAGGGCCAGAAGTGGCGAGCGCGGAAGGCGGCGCGCTCCCGGCGGCTTAAACCAGCGCGCCCGATCGAGGGACGCCCGGCGTCGGTCGAGCAAGCAGGCGAGGTCCGACTCGGGGCGAGCACGGGAGCCCCCCCCCCCCCCCACGCGGGCGCAAGGCTGCTGTTGCTCGCGGCTCGTTCCGTGCGGATGTGGACTGCTGCCAGTGTGCCCAGCTCTCTTCATGCTCTGTGCAGCAGTTTCATCCTGAAAGGGGAGACTATAAACCGTTACAATAGAGACCCAGACTTTCATCGCTTGAGACGCTGAGACAGAGGTGCCAAGATGGGACCTGACAGACCCATTAAAAAGTCAGAAAGTTCCTTTGCTTGCAATTGCAAAGTCTGCCAGTCGTTCCGTGGAACTTGGAAGCCTCTGTTCCATTCCTGGTCCCTGCATAAACTCCTATGGAGTTTAAATGAGTAAACCCTCCTAGCATTTGTGAATGTAGTGTCGGCTCTCTCTCCCCTTGCTGAGCTCATTTTGCAGCTTCACTGTCAACCAAGCAGCTACGGGTGGTTTGCTCCATCCCCTTCACACTTGGAGGCTTCTGCAGCAAAGCATCTGGCACCTGCATTTAGAAGTGGGCTTGCCCTTTGCAGCCAGCTGCCCGTTTCTCTGTTAGCTTCCTCTACTGCTGCCTGCTCACAGGTACCGCTACTGCCGAATGCTGGAAGAAGGCTCTTTCCGTGGAAGGACTGCAGACTTCATCTTCATGTTCCTCTTTGGAGGATTTCTCATGACAGTATCCTTTACATCATTCTCCATCATTCTGCACCTAAGAGGGTTTTGGAGAGGGGCAATCTTGCAAATAAGCATGTTTATTAGGGGAAAATTTAGATATTTTGGGACTAGAAAGTAAATGGAGATAAAATTTGTGTCTACTTCTCCATTTTTAGCCACAGAATCTTCAGATATTCCCAATTTTCTAAAATGAGCAAATTTCCCATCTTATTCCATTCCTTTTCAGGTTGAACACACTTATTTTGGCTTTTTAAAAATCTTGCAGTATTGCACATATACTTTGGAGTAGATTTCATCAATATCTGTGGGATTTACTTATGAATAGATATTACCTTATATAGTCTTTGAAAAGAATAAATTCACGACCCAGAGTGCTAAGCTTGGGTGGGGGGAAAAGGACTTTTTTTTTTTAATAAACAAGATCCTTGATTATGCCAGTCAAGAATAGGCAATTGATGGTCCACCATATGCTATGGCCTGACATTTCCATTAGCCTTAGAGAACAGTGCCAGTGGTGAAGGGTTAGAGGAGTTGTAGACCAAAAGATTTCAAAGACCACAAGTTCCCCATCCCTGCTCTAGGTACTAAACTGCAGACTTGCAGAATACAATTGGGCTTCTTTCCAGTAGAAAATCTGCTTCCCAGAGTCTCCTAAAGACTCAACTGCATCCAAGAGGTTTATTTGTGCAATATCAATAAGGGTACCAAGTGCTTCCACAAAGGGCAAAATAAACTAGTTTCTGTAATGGCCTCTCATTGAAAAGACTACATCAGTCCACCACTTTGCAGGATACTAAAAGTACAATGAGTTCCCTCAAGGCAATCCTTGCATGGTTTTAGGAAAATTGAGAGAGAGAGACTGATCACTTCTCCTTGATTGGTCCATGCAGCTATTTGGGCTATTTGCCAGTCTCTTCTTCTTGGGCCAGGCATTCACCATCATGCTGGTATATATCTGGAGCCGAAGAAACCCCTACACCCGCATGAACTTCTTTGGACTACTGAACTTCCAAGCGCCATTTCTGCCATGGGTTCTGATGGGCTTTTCATTGCTCCTGGGCAACTCTGTCATCATTGACCTTCTCGGTGAGAGGAGAGGGGTGGGGCAGACCAGTCCTCCTGGACACAGTTTGTTTCTCTTGCAGAGTTTTTCACTACATGTGTCTCCTGCAGGGCACATGTAGTGCCCTTCTGATTGTTCCAACCAGCTGATTCTGGGGCAATACAGTCTCTTCTGGTTTTGCTGCAGGTCAAGTGCTTGGTAAGTGCAGCTGGCAGCATTTGGTCCTTATCCTTGATATGTGCTAAGAATATCCAGTTGTGGTTTCTGAGTTTTTAAAGCAAAACCAAAATGAACAAAAATATTCAATTTGTATAGGCAAATTGGGAGCCGCTTTCCCAAGTCTGGCTGTACATTAGAAAAGAGAGATCCCAAAGAAACGTGGTTCCTGGGGGCCATCAAAGAGGGTATGTGCAGCTGAGATGAGATTCCTAAAGACTTGATGGAGCTGACTGGTGTGGATGAGGGCAAGGAAAAGGAGGGCAGCGTAATGCTCCCTGTGCCCTTGGCATGCTTTAGGCTTAACTAAGGGAGGGGCTGTTGGTGGCAAAGGCCCGTGGCACTGGGTTTCTTCACAGGGAATTGGGCAAGAAACTGTGGATAGGCAAGGTCTGTGTCCGACACCAGAGCAAAGGATGCATTCTGCCCATCATCCCAAGAGAAGCAATAGTGTATCACAACTCTCCTGCTCACACTCTTGCTCTTCTCAGAGCTTTCCTCTCCAGTTCCGACAGCACTCAAGCATAACCCTTTAATGCTAGGAATACTGAAGCAGGCTGAAATGGAAAAGAGGAATGCTAGGAGAGATCCCTTTCTCTATTGGCCACACAAGGGAAAGGTGAGGAAAACCAGCAAGACCAATTAATTGTAATTCGGACAGGAAGCGTCTAGGTGGCATATAGCAGTGAAATGCATCTAATCCAAAATTTTAAGAAATCAGTGCAGTAATAAAAGCAGTGAAGATTCCATAAGCCAACAAACATCAGCATAAGACAACATGAAGGCAGCTGTGACCTGGTCTGACAAAACAGTCAAGAGAAGGTCAGAGTAAAGAAGGGCCTTCTTGAAAGCCTGCAGTGACAAGGCCTGTGAGAAATCTGATCTCAACACATTCCGTGGTGGAGGAAGCCCTCATGTTCTCATCACAGTGAAAAGGGTCCTTCGAGAGTCATCTGGACCCAAATGAGGTTTTAAGTTTATTAAAAGCATGGTCACATTTTCTGTTTACAGTCTCTACCCACAGTGTTTGAAGAAGACGGATGCTGTGAGATTCCTGCTGAATAAGGACTTATGTTCTGCAACACAGTCTCTGCTTTTTAAACCATTGCTCTGTTAGAGTGTTCTGATGGCAGAATTATGCCAAGAGTGCCAGCTGGGCTTCTGGGTGGGCCCTCAAGTGGTCGGCTGTGAGCTCACACCTGGCCAAGCAATGACCAAAGCCCTTTGTGGACCATTCTTCTGCAGGAATTGCTGTGGGGCATGTCTATTACTTCCTTGAGGACGTCTTTCCCAATCAGCCTGGAGGGAAGAAATTGCTGCTCACCCCAGGTTTTCTGTAAGTCAGCCCATGACGGTCTCTCTAGGGTAGAGAACAGCTTCATTCAGGTAGCCCTGACCAAATGAGATCGTGTTCCTACATATGCTCATATCCAGAACCTAAAGACCCAGTGACTGAGACAGAGATGAGCCCAACCTCTGCTGAGCATTCTGCAGAGAAGGAGAAATGGCACTGGAAAGTGGGGGTAGGAAAGGATAGCTAAGTCATTAGGACATACTATAAGCTAGAAAAGACCAGAGAAAATCAAACAACTAGGTCATTTGGGACAGGCTTGATGTCCCTCCATGAATGCTGTTTGGCTAGGGGGACGGGCAGCTAGTGGGAAGAAGACGGTCTCTTTGGAGAAGCTCCCAGCAACCATTCCTTCCTGTTCCTTATTTTGTGATGTGCTACTGGATTTGCAATGAAGGGGCATAAAAGGAGGAAAAACAGGCCTGGTTCACAACTGTAACTGTACGTGCCATGATGTAATGTGAATGAAGCAACCATCTGCTTAGAACTGCGTGGTACACGCAAGTGCACTCACCTGTGAGATCCGAGTTGACAGCTGCTGGTCCCCGTGTGTGTTGTGTCACTGATTTAGCTGATACAATGTGTTTTAGCTGATACAGTGTAGATTGGCAGCTGCAGATCAGGGAATTTTCTCTGAATAAGGAACATCTGCATAAGGATCTGCATTAAAAACCATGGTGCAGAATGGCCTGCATGGGAGCAGTTCCCTCACTGTATGCTGCTTTCTCTTGCCCTGTCACCTCATGTTTGCAGGGAGGGGGGTGTTTGTTTATGCTTGGTAGCAAGATTCCTGTGTCAGGCACAAAATGGAGCCAGCGCAGGTAATTGCCTCATGACAGCCAGGACCATCTTGCCCATTAACATCTTGACTGACATGACAATACCCTAAGGAGGGGGCAGTAGCATGCAAGAGCACCTTGGGCAGTCCCAGGTTCCTTCCCAGGCACTTCCAGCAAGTGGAAGGAAACCCCGGAGCGCCATTGCTGTCAGCATAGGTGATAGAGAGCCAGGTGGGCTGCAGGTCTGCTTCCACGTAGGACAGCTTCCAGTGTATGACAGGAAGACTTGCTTAGGTCCACGCAGCAGGTGAGGGACAGGTTTGACCAGCTGTGCCCATGGAAGAGCTCTGAGGGATTGCATTTTTATTGTGAGGCTGCCCTGCTCTTTTGCAGGAAGCTTGTATTTGATCCTTCTGAGGAAGATCCCAACTACAGTCACCTCCCTGAAAACCATCTGCCTCCTGCTGATGATGGAAACCACCCCCAGGAGCCACAGTAATGGTGGTACGGACCTTGACTTGCTGGACTGATAGAGGATTGTGTCATGCTTTGTGCTTCCTGCCACTCCATTTCCCTTCTTCTGTTCAGCCATTTTCTAGCGGATGGGAGGGAGAAGTGTTTGTGTTGAAGGCTGCAGTGAACTGGAAGATCTTCTCTGAACACTGATGGGTGGGGTGGGGTCTTGTGCATCTCAACTTCCATGTTAAACCAAAACCCCTAATTAGCTGGCCTCTTATGAAGTGAAAAATACACCATAGCTGGAACTGCTGTCTATTCTGTGTTGCTGTACTGCATCAATTCAAGATCTGGAACCGAAGAACTGAACTTGCCATTATGGGGTTTTTAGTGGTTTGAGACTGCAAAGCATACAGGCAGTCCATCTATCCCCTTAACCTGACCTCCCCCAACCTATCCCACTATTTGCCAATTTATTTTCAAGCTCTGTACTGAAAATAAAAGAATGCAACAAAATACATACCCCCCCCCCCGCCCCCTCAAAGCTCAGAGCAGGAAACTTTTCTGGTCTTTGCTTAGTTGTCAAGTTCCAAATGATCTGAAATTAGGAGTGAGCAGTGAAGTGGCCAGATTTGCTGATGACACCATATAATTTAAGTTGGCTGAAACTATCAAGGATTTCAAACTGCAATTATCCCGGTTCATTTGTCTAAGAAGAAGAGAAACCTACCAGCAAAGCCTACCAGAAAAGGTTTATTGAAGCATTCACAGAGCAGCCCACCCTTCCAAAAGAGATTGGCACTTTTACTAAAAAGTCAAATGCTTTTATCCCTTTAAGAGCATGTCGTGAGCGGAGCCGGCTGAAGCCGGGGGTCAGACTAGATGGCCCAGGAAACCCCTTCTGACTTGCTCAAAAAAAGAAAAAGAGCAAACCCATCAGTCATTGGTCATCTTGATCTCTCCCCGTCTACACTTTAATCTTTCTGTATGCTCATTGTTAGCCTTTGGAGGTAGGACATATGGTTTTACCACGTTCCACACTTAACAATGGATAGACAAAGAGACAGCTGCCTATAGTTAATGACTAGAGGGGTCTCAGCTCTTTTGCAGATTGGTCATGGCTAAAGCTGCTCTTCAGGTTGAGACCTCAACAAGGATACAAAGAGTTCAAATGGAATCAGAAATGCTGTATCAAAATCAACAGCCATTGTGAAAAACTCGTAAGTGGTTTCTCCAGGCTGGGGAAATGGGCATCAAAATGGCAAACACAGTAAGCAAGTTTAAGGTAATGTATGTAGGGGGGAAAATCCCACCTTCAAGGTGCAGTTTGAGCGAGTGCCTCAAGAACAAGGAAGGGATGTTGCGGTTGTGGACAGTTCAATAAATACGTTGACCCAGTTTCTGTCTGTTGTGAGAAAGGCAAACTCCCATTTTAAGCATAATTAGGAAATGAACTGAAGCAAGGCAAGGTGGTGGGCACGGCAAGGAAGCGGGTGGGCACGTGGCAGCGGTGGGCAAGGGGCTGGCTGCCCACCCCCGGGCTCACATAAAAGGTGGGCCAGATGAATGGACATGGCGGGCCAAATCCGACCCGCCGTGCCCATTTCACCGGCCCGCCCCAGAGGTTTTGTGCTCGCCATGCACATGAGCAACTTACTAACGAGGTCATTTTGGACTCGCTCGGAGAAAACAATTTTGCGAGCAAGCCGGTGCCTCACCCCGTGTGCCCCCCATCCTCACGTGCACATGCCCGACCCCCTCACCTGCCTGCGCCTCCCCGCTGGCACCACCTTGGTGGCCGGCACGCACCACAGGCACCTGTCAACTGGTCCCGTTGAAAAAGTAGGAGGACCCCTGGTTTAGACCTTTGGTCAAATCTAGAAAGCCTGTCTTGCGTCCTCTTTTACAGTTGAAGATCAGAAGGAACAAGTTGTGACAGGCTTCAAGGAAAGAAGGGCCAATCCGGAGTCGTAACATCCAAGCCGGAATCCAGAACACAAATGGGCTGTCAACACGCAGGCTGGCTCCTCTCTCTGCCACATCATATTCCAGGAGTGTTGAAAGACCACCTTACAGTTAATAGCTTCTATAACCTTTGGCTCCCAGATGGCGAAGGAAAATTCAGCCATCCTACATTTAAGACGTTGTATGAGCACAGTGACCTGATTTGAATGATCACACACACCACGTTTTGACCCCACAGAGCACCATGACGTGTGCCAACTACCATTGTGTATATTCAGCACCCAGTGAGTGCTTGTCATGCCAATCAGAACCCAGGCCAGTTGCTGTTATTTTGCATGTTCAGATAGGAGTTCCATATTCACAGGGGACCTCACCTCCTTGTGGGTGAATCAATCCACTCTGGTTGACCTTTCTAGCCTCATTAGATAGATGGGGTAAGAGTTGCTGGCTCCCAACTCCAGCAGATCCACAGTAGTCTCAATCCAAACAAGTACAGTGCGCCTAATTAGCATTATTTTGTGCCCTGGGAAACTTTGGTGAATATCACTCCCTTTGATCCCACAGACTATGTTAACTGCCAGGGGCAACCAGAAAAACCCACCTTAAAAGCCTACCTTGCTTGGCCTTGCAGCCTCCTGGGGCCTTTTCTTCCCATTTGCTGGGCAAATGCGACTTTTCTTCCCTGATGAGTTTATCCTATTTCTATCCACAAAGGTCAGAGAATCACAGAATAGTAAAGTTGGAAAGAGTCATGAAGGCCATCGGGTCCAGCCCCCTGCTGTTGCAGGTCACTAAGTTACACTATCCCACTCTGATGGCTGTCCAGTCCCTTTCTGAATGTCTGTAGTGTGGGAGCGCCCACCTCTCCAGGCAGCTGGCTCCACTGCCGTATTGCTCTGACAGTGAGGGAGCTTTTCCTGATACCTAGCCGGAATCTGTTTTGTCACAGCTTGAATTGATTATTCTGTGTCCTGCACTCTGGTATCAGCAAGAAGAGATCTTGACCTTCCCCTTTGTGAGAGCCTTTGAGTGATTTCATGTCCCCCCTCAGTCTTCTCTTCTCAAGCCTGAACATGCCCAGTTCTCTCAGCCTCTCCTCATAGGGCAGTGCTTCCAAACCCTGGATCATTTCTGTTGCCTTCCTCTGGTGCACAAGTATTATCTCCTACCAGGCTCAGGAATTGTCTTAGTACATGATATTGGCTGTTGCAGACACAGGCTGTTCAGCCCAGACTTTTGTGTTACTGCTTGAAAAACAAATTCAACAGAAGCAATCCAGCATAGGAAAATTCGAGTGACTTCTGTCAGAAAAGCACACACTTTGTAAAAGCAGCTATAATGCTGCTGTTTAATGCTCCACCTCTAAATAATAATTTCTCCCAACAATTCTAGTTTCATGAAACATAAGCAGTTCAGTTCATTGACTTTAGTTCTTAATGGAGGACCCAGCAGCTGATAGGTACTTGGACATCCATCCCTGAAAGAAATGGTTAGCCTCTAATGGCACTCTCCTGCAAGGAATGACAGAACTTCACTGCCCTGCTTGCACAATGGAAAATAAACAATAGCCATGTTATTGAGCTAGAGATGTATTACTGAGAACACACACTAGTAAGAAAATGAAACTGGAAATGCACAGCACAGACACTTGATGGAAACCAAAAATATTATTTGTTCCTTTTATTTAAAAAGTAGTTGTGGGGGAGTGTTAAGGGCTCAGGCAGCTGCCACAGGTTTTTACTACTTGTTCAACAGGTAGCCAAAAGGTGGAAGTGGATGTCATCAGCCCTTTGATCTGCAGGATCAGAAAAGCAGAGCAAGAAAAATGCTTGCACCTTGCTCAGTCCTTCCAGGAAACAATCCGGAGACTGAACATCCTTGACACTTCAGGAAGGTTACCAGGCTGGGGCTGTGTTGGCCAAACGCCTCATGCGCCTGTAGAGGAAAAAGCAAAGAGGCATGAATAGTACTTTGGGATTGTTTGGGTTGGGCCAGAAGGAAGAGATAACAGAGTGAACACAAAGAACCACCACTTTCAATATTAGGGTCCTTAACTGATATGTTTAAAGGAATGGAGGTTTCCGAACTCCTGCTGTAGACAATGCAGAAGTGGAATTTGCTATTGTGGAAAGTTACAAATTCTAAACAGCTTTGAGATGTGACTAGAACAAAATGCATATTGCAGCTGCATAAGCACACTTCCCTGACTACCACTAATTCCTTCTCAGACCAAAATGAGGGTGGTGAAACGTCACTGAACCATCAATCAGCCCTGCCACAGGAATTTGGCAAATACAAGCCCTAACACCTACCCAGGGAAGGGAATTGTGCCAGGCATCCTTGATTTAGAACTAGTTGCATGTGCAATACATGCCACCAGGAAGTGCAAGTTAATGCAGACTTGCCAGTACAAGCGAAAAGTTCTGATCACACCTATGAATTGTCATGTGCAGAATGCCATTAGATTTCAAGCACTCTAGAGACTGCTTTGGGTTCCATGTAGCAGCTAGTAAGCTGTTCCTAAGATATGGAACATGAGCAGAAGGAAAGGTAACTAGAATATTTAGATCGTGATTACCCCTCCTTCAAAATAGCCCGCACTTGAGAGTGTAATGCCTGCTGCTCTGCATCAGGAAAAGCTGCTAACATTGAAAATGCAATATGATAGTTGTGCAATAACAGATGGAGAACATCTATATCAAAACACAAGAAAACTAACTCTCTATTCTCCAAAGAGTGTTTGGAAAATCTAATAAAATGATAGATTTGAAAGATGCAGATTTTCCATCATAGAAAATAGAAAAAATGCACAAAGGCAGGTAGCAGCACCTGGTGTTTCTGTCTTGGTCTCGGATCTTCTTCTCCATCTCTGCATCTGTCAGTGTTTCAAGCAGAGGGCACCACTGGTCAGCATCCCCAGTGTTACGAATAGCAATCTCTACTGTTGGCAGAGGATTCTCACTGAAAAAGCAAGGCACAGGGAAGGCAAGACACATGGCTGAATATAATTCTGAGCCCCAACATTTGGACAGCAGGGTCAAAGTTTTCCATTTCAACCCACTCTGGACCACCACATCTAGCAGGCAAAAGCACACTATGGAAAACACTTTGGTTTTCCAAAACTCTCACATTGCAGAAGCTGGAATCTGATGATTCCCCTGCCTTTGGGTCACGTGGATACACTAGCCCCACCCCTTACCTGAATGCATATGTCTTCTGATGCCAGCTCAGCTGCCCTCGGATGCTGTAAGCAATGGTGGTGACAAATTCACCGCCCAAACCAAGCTCTGAACACAGCTTCAGTGCAAACTTCTCCGGGGAATTCTCCTTTTCAGACATGTCCCACTCAAACTGGTCCACCAGGGAGATATTACCCACATGGATGTTGAGCTAGATGCAAATATCACAAATGAGTTCTGCACTGCTTGAATTCCAAATAGACTAAAGCTCAACCCCTCTGCCATTCTGGGATAGTTAGAAAAAAGAATATTGTTTTCTTGAGTCTGCAAAGGTTATGGAGTTTTCTAGCTACCTAGTCAAGGAAGTCCACACTATATTACATAATGATAAAATTTAAATACAGTGTCGATTAAAGAAAATTTTTAAAAATGTACATCACTTGTAAGCATTGCAATAGAGAGCTCTCCATTTTCTCACCCAAGGCACTTGTTGGAGAATGAAGGTTCATCTCAGATAAATGAACTGAACAAAGCACAATTCTCCAGATCCGAAATCCCAGGCAATGGCCAAGAAAAGAGAACTGAAGTGAGTATCTGGCATGCAAAGTAGTACAGGTTCAACCACCGTGCAAGTTGCAAGAGAAACAGAACCAAGCGCCATCATTGCCTCTGATTTCACAGTGGGCAAGCTGCTCTTCACTGAAGAACAGCTGGACCTGCTTGAGAAGCCCTCAGAACAGACATGCCTGCAGGACCTTCCCAACTGCTGCCAGCTCTCCTTGCCTTAATAATGACACGCTGATCCGACTGGTCCTCTAGGATACTGTCTGTAGGATAAGATTCAATTTGCTGTCGTATCGCTGATGCAATAGCAGGCACAAAAGTCAGGGGATTCAAATCCAGGTCATCACAGAGAATTTCTGAAAACATTTCTGGAGTCATCAGTTTTTCTGATGAAAACAAAAAACAAAAACAAAAAAAGTAGATTGTGGCACAATCAAGCATCTGCAGATGAAGCTTCATCATTACACACTATTTTACCAACCTCTAACAGAAAGTCTATCTACTGTTATCTTCAGAATTGGCTAAATTGAAGTGCACACACTATGTAATCACTTACTTGAAAAGACATTATAAAACTTTCTGCAAATTACTTTCAAATAAGTGTGCTTAGAAGTGCAGCTTATGGGCAAGTTCACACATAATGGAAAGCCACAGTGGAAACCACTGTTACAGAATTGGACTCAAAGAGTACTCATCAATGGCATCTTCTCAAACTGGGGAGGGGTAACAAGTGAGGGATTTATTTATTTATTTGAAGCTTTTCTATGCTGTCCCCATTGTTACATAGCCTAGGGATGGCTCGCATCAACAAATAAATAAAACAATACAATTACAATTAAAACTTGGAAACACACTGGCTGCACAATTAAAACTATAAATATTAAAGATGATTAAAATACTGTTTGAATAAAAAGGTCTTGGCCTGGCGCCGAAAAACAAATAACGATGGTGCCAGGCAGACCTCTCTGGGGAGCGCATTCCACAGATGGGGCACCACCGCAGAGAAGGCCCTCCTCCGGGTACTTTGCTTCCTGATATCTCTTACGGAAGGCTCCCGGAGGAGAGCCCCTGCTGCCGATCTCAAGGGGCGGGAGGGCAAATATGGCTGCAGGCGTTCCTTCAGGTACTGCAGGTTCAGTCCTGAAACCAGAACTCTTCGACATTTTTAAACCCTAATGAGTTGGATGAGGAAGTACAGGGAGTGCTCATCAACTCTGCAGACGACACAACATTGGGTGGGATAGTTAATATCCTGGAAAACAGAAACAGAAGTGGTTTTGATAGGTTGGAGTGCTGGGCTCTTTATAACAGCCTTTCAGGTATTTGAAAAGTGCTATCATATCTCCCCTCAGTTTTTTCTTCTAAAAGCGAAACATTCCCAGTTCTTTCAATTTCTTCTGATAGGGCCTGGTTTTCAGTCCCTGAATCATCCTTGGTGCCCTCCTTTGAACCCTTTCCAGCTCATTTGCCTCTTTCTTCAATTGTGGTGCCCAGAACTGGATGCAGCACTCCAGACAAGGCATAACCAGTGTTGAGAAGAGAACTAGAACTTCACAACATTTGAAAGTGATATTTCTATTAATGCAGTCCAACACTGCATTTGCCTTTTTTGCAGCCACATCACATTATTGACTAATATTCAGCTTGCGATTTTCAATTCCAAGGTCCTTCTCACTTGCAGTGTCATTAAGACAAGTACCCTCAATAAAGCTTTCCAATGCAAGACTGGATCAGAACTGGTTCATTGCAGCCAGCGTGCAGGTGGCACATGGTTCAAACCTACAGCTGACTCACTGGGGAGGGAGGTAAAAGAGCCCTTGCATAACACAATTGGCACATTTTGAGAAGGACTTGATTGTAAAAACGCCAGCCCAACCTCCATTACCAGAGAAACTGCTAAAGAGTAGGCACTGCAAGGTCAAACTTTTTTGCCCACTGCCAGAAAGCAAATGCAAATGTTTTTATGTAAACTGGTACATAAAAATGCCATAAAATTGCCATTTTTACTGTTGCAAATTTCAGGCTTGGGTGCTGTTTTCTTTTTCAAGTAGAATAACTAACATGCAATGATATCAATGTCACTGGATTAGTCACATCCCACCCTTCACGCACCATTCATATTCCACGTAAAGGCATCTCTCAGCTTCTGTCCATCAATTTCCATGTCCAGTCGGATTGGAACCAGCACCTCTGGCTGTGAGGCATTCTCATGGATCACAGCTGGGTCATGGTCATCAAAGCTAAAAGGCAGCAAGACAGCAGGGCAGAGCACCACTGAATTAAAATGTTTAGCACAGACCCACAGCCTAGATAGGTTCAAGTCCCAGTTTTCCAAAATTAAACTTGGCTCCAGTCCCCTTTTTCAGGATGGTGGGGATTAGAGTAGGAATTCTGGCACACCCTGCTTGTTATTGTGCATATTCTTACAATAACTGGGGTGGGCAGGGGAAAATATTTATCTCTATTTTGTAGCTAAGGAAGCCAGTCTGCACCCAAGTCATTTGTTAGCTCTGTGCTCCTAGTATCTCTACTGGTTCTGAAGCTCTTTATCTGTTATCAGACTTGGATCTTTTAGTAGACGTATCTAAACCTGTGACTTATTGTTATCAGAAACTCAAAAATAGACAGAGCAGTAATGGAAGTTACTACATAGACAATCAGTGCAGGTCCACAAGCATAGACTGGACAGCCACTTCTCAGGTGCACTTTAAATTGGATTCTTGCCCTGAGCAGGGGATTGGACTTGATGACCTAAATGGCCCATTCCAACTGCATGTTTCAATGAAATGTAAGTAATTAATAGGCTTTTAAAAATTCTGATACATAAACTTTATGTTACTATAATAAACATTAACTTTATAATCATGCTTAATTATATTTTGTCACCAATTCGTAATGAATTGAAGTTGACAACTCCATTTATGGCCCCCTCCGTTTTGAATGCCTTCAGTTTTAGAGGATCTACAACTAGGTCTCCACCATCCACATATGAACATAGAAAGAGGCAGGTTAGATCACATCAGCAACCCAGCTGGTCTGCATCCTGTTCATACAGCTGCCCAAGGGATTCCTCAAGCAGAATACAACAGCTTCCTACTGCCCAAGTCCTCTAGCGACTGGTATATACAGGCATATTGCCAGATCACACATGTTCATGAGAGTTTACTGCCACTCTCAGAAAATGCAAATAGGCTAGTAAGACAGAACGCAGAACCCATATTGATTCTTTTTCAGCAGGGTTTGACCCTCTTTGAGCTTACAGATTTGGTTGTTAATTACATTTTTGACCAATTTACCCAGAACAGATATTAAACTGTGATTTCCCAGATCCCTCTGGATTTCTTTTTAAAAATTAGTATTACATTGCCCATTTTCTAGTCCTCTGATATAGAAGCTGCTCATAAGGACATTTACATATTTTATAAGGAGGTCAGTTTCTTATTTGAGCAGTTCAGAACTCTAGGATCAGGGGCTGGTGATTTATTAACTTTCAATCTATCAATAAGGTTCAGAATTTCATCTTTTGTCACCACTACCTGCCTTAACTCTCTAACTCTGTTCCTGAATATGCAAGTTAAGCAACAGGCATCTATTCTGTATTTCCTATGCTGTGCAAACAAATGAAAAAATTCATCCAGCTTTTATTAAATTTCCTTATCCTCCCTTGGTATCCCCTTAATTATCAACCAATAGCCCAACTGTCGTTTTTAGCTGGTTTCTTGCTTTTGATATATTTAAAATATTCTTTATTGCTGACTTGATGCCATTGGCAATATGCTCAAAAATTCTTTTCTGCATCTCTTATTTTCTGCTTACATCTTCCTTGTGCAAGCTTGTACTCCCTTTTGCTTTCCTAAGAAACCTCCTTCTCTCCAGTATCTTTCATGATACTGCTAGTTAACCATGCTGGTGAATTCTTGGACTTCATGCTATGTTCCCAAACTTCTAGCATATGTACTATTTGGGTCTATTATTGTGGTTTTGAATATTCTCCAAGCATTTTAAGGGATTTTACCTTTTTGACTCTTCCTTCTCCCCACCTTTCTCAAGACAAACTTACCAGAGTGGAAAAGTTCTCTTCTTATCCCTGCCCATCCGATTTCTGTTAATGGTTGTTGAACATGGCACAGCATCAAGATGATGGGAACTGTTTGGGAGGGTTGGAACCCACTGGCTGTTCCGTTTTGCCTTTTGCTCTCTAAAAAAGGAGATTACTTGTGAACAGAGTTTACACATTCGTATCATTCTTCTGTATGTGGAAGAGTATCAGTGCAAGGTTTAGAAAAAACAGGCCTATTCATTTATATTTTCCAGCAAATATAAAGCAACCTGAAGGTTACAACTGAGATTTGATGCTAATATCTAAGAAAAGGGAACTTCCTGAAGCATCATCATGTTAAAGTGGTTCAAATAAAAATAAGATGTTTTTCCTTGTAGCCCCCTTCATTTTGTTGTCCCTGGCTTTTCTTTCCCCAGGAAGGAGGAAATGCATCTTCATATTACCTAAGGTAGGTTGGAGGCTCAGTGCTGATAGAGACTGCTTTGTATTTCTCATCATTTCCATCCAAGATCTCTTCTACTTCAGAGGCTTTCAAGAGAGTCACACTAGTAGCTAGTGTAGTATAACCATGATCTAGGATAGGAAAGAAGATGGGAAGGAAGGAAGAAAATAGCATGGATCACTAGGGCATCTCCTGCCAGGTGATACTCCAGGGGAAGCTTCCCTCACCTGAATTTCTCATTCCATGTTAGCTTCAACAAGCAAGGTAAGGCTAGAAAGCAGAGCCATGCCACAGAGTGGCACTCGGTCTCCTGCCTATCAAATTGCACTTTCAAACAAAGGACTTTTTCAAATTAAACCTAGATCATCTTCTGGAGGTGTTGAAAGAATGCAAGCCTCATATGGTACCTCTTATTCTCTTCTTTACATGACTAACTCCACTCTACCCTAACCTGCCCTATCCTAAGGAAGGTTATCATACAGAGTTCCAAGAGCTTATCCGAAAAAATTAGGATCAGACTGTAATGAAGTGAGACAGAGCAGAAAGATGTGCTATATTCCTCTAGACTCTAACTGTACTCTCACTGGGACACACTTTTAAACTAACTAAAGGACCAGCACAAGGAAATTCCTTCACTACCTTCACAAGAAAGAAAGAAATGAAAAACCACCACCACGCACACACAGAGAGTGAGCAGTGTGTGGCAGAAGGGGACCTGAAGGATACCTGAAGACGTGCTGCCTATTCCACAAGTAGATTGTGAAAACCCAAATTGGGGTGGTGGATCGAAAAGCCTTTTTAATTTGAAGAGCTTTTATCCATTTTGGAACAAAACCATTTTAGGAATGCCCCCCAACATTCCTTTAAAATACTTTCATTTGGGAATAGTACATCAAGACTTTGCTCAATGTATAGAGTATGAAATTTATTACAATATACAATGCCACAAAACACTTGTGGATATTTCAGAAGCATACAAGGTTCTAAATTCTAAATTTCTGTACCCAAAGCATGAGTTGCAATATTTATTGTTCAGACTCACAGAACAGTAGAGTTGGAAGGGGCCAAGAAGTCCAAACTCCTGCTGTTGTAGCACACCAAGTTACACCATCCCACTCAGGTGACCAGTTTCGCCTTGAATGTCTCTAGTGCGAGAGAGCCCACAACTTTTCTAGGCAGCTGGTTCCACTGTCACATTGCTGTGATAGTGAGGAAACTTCCTGGTGTCCAGCCTGAATCTGGGTTGTCACAACTTGAGCAGATTGAGTGTTCTGCACTCTGGTAAAACAGATATTGACCTTCCTCTTTGTGACCACCTTTGAGCTACTTACAGAGGGATATCATGTCCCCCCTCAGCCTTGTCTTCTCAAGGCTGAACATGCCCACTTCTCTCAGTCTCGCCTCATAGGGCAGTGTTTCCAAACCCTGGATCATTTCACCCTCTGCTGGACCTTTTCTAATTTTTCTGCATCCTGGTACCCAGAACTGGACACAGTATTCCAGATGAGGTCTGACTGACTAGCAAAGAGTATAGGGAAACTACTACTTCTTGTGATTTGAAAGTAGTACTTCTATTAATGTATCCCAAAATAGCATTTACCCTTTTAGTGGCTGCATCACATCGTTGGCTCATATTAAGCCTGTTGCCCACAATAACTCCAATGTCTTTTTTCTTTTTAGTTCTGTTGAGCCATGTATTCCCCATATTGATGGATTTGGTTTCTTTTTCCAAGGTGGAAGACTTGGTACTTGTCCTTATTGCATCTCGTTCTGTTGCTTTCAGCCCAACGTTCAAGTTTATCAAGCTTTCCCTAGATCTTCATTCTGTCTTCTAGGTTGTTTGTTATTCCACCCAGTTTTGTATCATCTGAAAATCTGATCACTGTTCCTTGTACTTCCTCATCTAAATCATTAATAAAGAGCACTGAGCCCAGGACTGAACCCTGCAGCAGTCCACTAACCACCTTCCTCCACTTTGAGAAGGTGCTGCTGATGTACAATTTAGCAGCCATTTTTGATCCACCTAACAGTTTTTCCATCTAGTCCAGTTTTTGCTAATTTGTTTATCAGCATGTCATGGGCACTATGTCGAAAGCTTTGCTAAAGTCTAGGAAGATTATGTCCACAGTGTTTCCTCTGTCCATTTCAGAGGTCACCCAGTCAAAAAAATGAGTTTATTATATTTGTTTAGTCTGCTTACTCCTGGTAGTGGGACTCAAAGCAGCTTACCATATTTAAGCAATGTAATTATTCTTGGATTTATATCCTGCCTTTTTTTTTTTAAAGAACTCAAAGAGATTTACATCATTCTCCTCCTAGTGCTCTCAGTCTCATCCTCACAACAACCCTAAGAGGTAGGTTGGGCTGAGTGTCTGTGACTGGCCCAACGTCACTCAGGGGACTAGAACCCTGACTGCCCGAGTCCCAGATCCACGCTCTTAACCACTACACCACACTTATACAATTGGAATGGTAATACAAAGAATCCCTTCTTCCTAACAGGGCACATGAACCTTTAACCTTTTACTTGTGCAGTACTGCTTGCCTTTCTATGAGCATTTAATAAAGTCTGAAGGCCAGTTCCCTGTTCCGGTTAGGCTTTTGACCCAGACCACCTTATCCTCTTCCCTAAAGCACAGTGCTTCAAGTATGACTCCTTCGAATAAAGTGCTATTATACACGAATCCTGACTTTGAAGCAAACGTGCCTAGCCTTGCTCAGCATTTTTCATAGCTGCACCAGCTATTGCAAGGTTTGACGCGACCCCCCCACCCCCGAGCGTGGCTGAGGCGGCAAGCGGCGAGAGCGCCGCACAGGGAACGCGCGGCCGGGCGCTGCGGGGCCGAAGCGACGGGAAGGCTGCGGGGCCTCAGGGGCGACTTACATCTCCTGGGGCTGTGGCTCCGTTGAGACTCTACGAAGAAGAGAAAACAAGGCAAAGTGAGCGGCCACCGGGCAGACAAGCGAGCAGAAAACGGGCGGCGAGCAAGCACTGGGGAGCCGCCGGCGCACCCCCGCACGCCCGCCCTGCCGCCTAGGATACACGTGCGGGCTGAGCCGCCGACGCGTGGCGACGCCGGGAGGGTTCGTGCAGTGGGCGGCCGAAGACAGAGAGGCCTCCCCGGAACGAGCGAGCCGGCCGGCGAGGCGCCCCCCACGTGCGCTCACCGTGGGAAGAGGCGACGATCTTCTTGCGCTCCTCCACTGTGGCCAGGCGCCTCCAGAGCGAAGGGTAGCGCTTGTACAGCGAGCCGCGGAACATGCGCAGGTAATTGCCCACCTGGAAGGCGAGCGCGCCGGGTCAGCGGCAGGCCAGGCCGCCGGCGAGCAGCAGGTTCCCAGCCGACCCGCGGCCACCCGCCCACACCGGCGCGCGGCGGGCGCAGGCAGGCAGGCAGGCAGGCAGGCGGGGGGGGGGGGGCCGCCCTCCCGGGTGGCCGAGCCGAGGTCCCCTCGCTCACCTCGGAGCCGATCATGTAGAACTCGCCGTCCTCCTCCAGCTGGAACTTGACGGGCTTCTGCCCAAAGGTTTTGCTCAGCGCCATCATCATCATGGCTGCGGAAGCGAAGGGAGGCCGCGCTGGGCCACCACGGCGACAGGAGGCAGCGCGGCCTAACAGGGAAGGCTGGCGCGCCTGCGCGAAGGGCGAGCGATACCCAGGCGCGCGCCTCCCGGCGGGAGGCGACAGCTGCGCCTGCGCACGGCTGGAATTGCGTTTCTTCGGCCGGCGCGCCCCCCGCGGAAGAGCAGCGCGGGCTTGTCGTCTCCGGCGCGGGATGCGGCTCGCCGGTCCCGTGGCTGGGACAGCACCAGGGAGCGACGGAGAGCACCGGTCCGCCTGGCTCCCCTTTCTAGATTGAAGCGGCACGCAGCTTTTTAGCTCCGTCATAACCGTGGCTGTGGTTTTTAAATTTATAACTCGTATTTGATTTTTATATTCTTTCAGCAATACCAAATGTCAGCGGAACGTTGCTGAGTGTGCAAAACAGGAGTGAACACACATACAGAAAAAAGAAAAACACACCACCACAGAGTAACATTCAGAAATGCATTAAATTGATCTTGTAAGTATTAACGATAAGCATGCATAGATATATATGTGTGTGTGCACATGACACACATGCACTAACACACACTCAAAGTTCCTGTTCCACATCACTAACATATACTGATACAGTTTGACCAAAGGTTGGAAGACATGCCAAGGCACATTGTGCTCAATAGTATATTCTCTCATAGAGCATCAATGTTGTGCAACCTTCACAGAGGCTGAGGAAGAGAACTTGGCTTTCCAACCCTGTAACGTGAGTTGCAACCACCATAAGGCCTTATATAGTCCACTGGCAGTGAACAGAAAATGGCTTTTGGATGTGAGAATCACAGCAGCAATTCAGCAGTACAGTGACATCTTTAAACTAGAATGACATAGGTAGGACATGTGTCTAAAAGGGCACCACCAGATGGGGGCCACCACCAAGCATTTCCACATCATGTGCATCTTCTGTCCCCCCTCCAATGTTTATTAGAAAGTTTTTTTTCCTGAAACAAACTGTGTGGAGTCCAATATGCCCAAAAGAGCAACAGATTCAAATCGGGATATAGATTGTTTTCAACCTTTCCAGAGCTTGTGACCGGCAAAAACAGGAAAACCACCTCGGGGACCACTGAGGCAGAAACAAAAAGCACCATACACATAATACAGTACTCTGTGTATAAGTTTCCAAACACAATACCAAAAAAAAAGAAAATTCTCTAAAACAACCAGAAACCGAGCAACAAAAATGCCAACAAAAGAACAAAATACTGAATTCGGTGCAGCCTGGCTCCTAGCTCACTCCCACCGAGCTGTCTCCCCTCCTCTCCCTGGCCCTCCCGGCAGCACCGGTGCACCTCCTACAAATGCGATGCTATCAAGGAAGAGGTGGTGGAGAACAGCCAGCCCCCACGCCAGTCTGCAGTGAGTAGGATGCAGCCACTCCATAGATTGGAAGGAAATCTCCCACGGACTGGCACCAATCCATGGACCAGTGGTTGAAAACCACTGGTATAGAAGATGTAGCAATTTTCCATAAGTGTTGTTGAATGTGACATTCTAATTCCCCACTCCACTCCTCTCTGAGAGTCTGGATGTCCAGCTGATTGTACCTGGTAGCATAGTCTGCATCTCATTTCCTATAAATTGAATGGTACCCTTCTATCTTTAAATACTGTATAGAATATATTGGTTCATTTAAATGTTTATACAGGTTCCCTTTCTTTACATTTTTCTCTATGTATTGTCTTCAATTGTTGTTGTTGTTAGTTGTGAAGTCGTGTCCGACCCATTGCAACCCCATAGACAACATTCCTCCAGGCCTTCCTGTCCTCCACCATCCCCCAGAGTCCACTCAAGCACACACCAACGGCTTCAGTGACTCCATCCAGCCACCTCATTCTCTGCCCCCACTTCTTCTTTTGCCATCTATTGTTCCCAACATTAGACTCTTCTCCAGGGAGTCCTTCCTTCTCATTAGGTGGCCAAAGTATTTGAGTTTCATCTTCAGTATCTGGCCTTCTAAAGAGCAGTCAGGGTTGATCTCCTATAGGACTAACTGGTTTGATCTCCTTGCAGTCCAAGGGACTCGTGGGAATCTTCTCCAGCACCACAATTCAAAGGCCTCAGTCATTTGGCACTCAGCCTTCCTTATGGTCCAGCTTTCACAGCCATACATTGCAACTGGGAAAACCATAGCCATGACTATACGCACTTTTGTTGGCAGGGTGATGTCTAGAAGGTGTTGTAGGTCTTCATAGAATCAGTCAAGTTCAGCCTCTTCAGCACCAGTGGTTGGGCCATTGACTTGACCTACTGTGATGTTGAGTGGTTTTCCTTGGATTCGAACTGAGATCATTCTGTCATTTTGGAGATTGTATCCCAGTACTGCTTTTCCTTCTCTTTTATTGACTATGAAGGCTACTCCATTTCTTCGGAGGGATTCTTGCCTGCAGTAGTATACCTGATGGTCATCTGAATTAAATTCACCCTTCCTGTCCATTTTAGTTCACTGATTCCTAAGATGTCGATGTTCAGTCTTGTCATCTCTTGTTTGACCACATCCAGCTTGCCTTGGATCTTACATTCCAGGTTCCTATGGAGTACAGATCTTTACAGCATCGGAATCGTTCTTTCTGGCGCTACTAGTACTAGCCCTCTGCTCTTCCCCAGTAGCATATTGGACACCTTGTGACCTGAGGGGCTCATCTTCTGGCGACCTATCTCTTTGCCCTTTAGAACTGTCCATGCGGTTTTCATGGCAAGGTACTGGAGTGGGTTGCCATTTCCTTCTCTAGTGGATCACCTTTTGTGAGAGCTCTCTGCTATGACCTGTCCGTCTTGGGTGCCCCTGCACGGCACAGCTCAGAGCTTCATTGAGCTACGCAAGCCCCTTCGCCAGGGCAAGGCAGTGATCCATGAAGGAGCTTAAATAGTTAATCTCTAGCAATTTCTTATATATAAATCATTGTTAGTGTTATTGCAAAATCCAAAAGGTGCTTCCTTCACCATTTCACTGCCTACAGTTTGTCCACTCGATGATATACAAGAACAGTGATTTACATGAGGCTGTGCACTGTCCTTCTCATTGTGTATATTTTCCAATATTATAACTTATGAAAATGGTAAACAATTTCAAATGCAGAGCTGGGAAACTAATCCTCCTTGATCAATCTGCTTATAGGCCCTTACTAAAGGGAAGGTAGCCATTCCCCACAAGAATGTAAATAGCATTTTTTCGGTTTGTTTCGATATGGGTCCAGGGGATGGGGGAAACAACTGCCATATTCATTACTACAGGCAACATGCACATTTGTATATAAACTGTATTCTGATAAACATACAGCTGCCATTTCTTCTACATCCTTATTTTCTCCTTGGTTTTTTGAAGCAAAACTAGCCAAGTTTTCCCCACCCTTCCTGACTAATGAAGTAATAAAGTCCCAGAATCTTAACTTCATCTACCTTCTCCTCTCCTCTCCTCTCATCTTCCTCCTCCTGATTTTTTCTACCAATGCACCCTTCACTCTATAATCTTTATAATTCAGACTATTTTTCCTTTGCTTATGGTAGAACTGAGAAATAACCTTCCTTGACTGAACCAACACTCTTTCATTGTACTTTTGTTCCTGATTCCTTTTATTGTGACACTTGAAGAACTGCCTCTTGATAATGTTCTAATCTATTCACTCTACATTCATAATTGCAACAACTCTTTCTGGTTACTCTTTTAGATTTTCCCTACATTCTGGCAAATCATCAACGTAGAGGTCAAGCAGAGTCAAACGCTTGCTAAAGTGGAGGCTGTGAGTTCATTGCAAGACACACCTGCCAGCATCTTGGGTCTGAGACGCCACAGGAATTTTCCTCTAGGGAAGGTCTTCTTGAAGCTTAATTCAATGGCCAAATCAGCACGATCAGATTCTCATACATCTCTCAGTATTTACCTTCTTTGGCGCTCTGCCCTATCTTTCTTACTGTATCACTTGTATAACAGGTAAACCTTACTCTCCCTGTTGTGGGATATTTATCCAGAAATGCCTTCCTGCAGAGTATGGAGAAAAATATAAAGAATTAGATAGTTCTGAAGCTATATCCTGGATATTATGGTGCAAAAGAAACTTTTTCAAGTCTTTTTCCTGTATTGTCAGAGGATGCATTTTATTCCGAGTATTTCTGTTTCTTCTTTTTCTTTTTTAATTTTGAAAGCAAAACAACTATAATAAACAGAGTAAGCTGAAATAGACAAATTTGCCAAGGGAATTCAATACAGATCCTACCAGTACAATCAGCCCTTGGAATCTATCCATCAGCACACCATAAAAATGTAACACAAAAGAAATCCTTAATCTGTACAACAACGTATCCTCCAATCACTTCAGATCCTCAGTAGCTTTCCCTATCTTTTTTAAGCACCTCAGAGCCACTTACGTGGCACATTCCTAAACAGCACCCTCCGCCAATCCATTTCTCCAGTCTTCAATTGTTGAGGGCCATGGTGATGTCCACCCAGAACCAGCTCCAATCCTAACTCTGAGACATTCCCTGAAAGGCTCTCTGACACTATATTCTTAAGACTCATGAAAAACTGCTTTGATTGTCTTAAAAGAAAAATTCAGTGCATTGATATTAATTGATAATACCTTTATTCTGTCTCTAAAATCCAATCTAAGGAGCTCAGATGACTCTCTCTTTTCACATGTAACATCAGCTTTCCAGCATCAGTTCAGATTTCCTTCTTGCATAATTCTTCTCTTCTCCTCTGCCCCTCCGCAATTCCACCTTTCACATTTCTTCATACCTATAAGTAAACTACAATTTGACAGTATAGCTTAAAGTAGATAGTTAGGGGAGGAGAGTCAGGAAAGTCCCATTCTATCTCTATCAAAATATTAGTTTGAATTAGTTTGTTAAGAAGAGACTTTGTTCCAACTTTCATAGCAAGGGGCCTTGCCTTCCAATCTTCTCCAGGTCCAATAGGCAGAGCTAATGGTCTTCTTGTCATAATATGTCATGTTCGTTCTTTTTTCTTTAGGATTATTAATTTATTCTTAAGGGCAGGACCAGCGAAAACACATCAAGTCCCA